CTCGGATTAAGGCCTACGAGCCCTAAATCACAAAATAATCCAGAACAATATGTTACATAATTTCACCTATGTGACATCCCCAAAATCACGGCCAGAAAAAGACTGGTTTTGTTTATACTTTATTTCAAAATCAGAGTTATCTTTTAATAAAAGGGTTGCGGAATTTGTCCCAAAACAATAATATGATAAAGATTTATCAAAAGCATTTCCATAGAAATGTATTTCATTAAAAGACTCGGGATGTCATGTTCGTACAGATCAAAAGTATAAACAGTACAATATAAGCCTTACTACATTATTTCATATCTACAGGCCTATATCCGTAATCCCTCGTCCAAAACATCACACCTATGCTCATGCGCCACTACCTGTAATACATAAAACTGAGTGGGTCAGGCTTGGGAGCCTGGTGAGCACATAGGGTTTTCAACCCACAATAAATAAGTTTATTAATTTCATCAATCAACAATAACCCGATTACCCGTTCCCGTTATCCTCACTTTACGTCCCTAAACACCTATCATAAGGGACCTAGCCTAAGGATCATCATCGGGATGGACACTACTGCTAAGGGGTTCCTCAGCAATAAATGTCCTAAAGGCAACCATGTGGGGGATGGAGTACACCGGTGAACACATCGTTCACAACACCTACAGGTTGCGAGCCTGCTAGTGTTCCACTGGACTGTCTAGAAGAGTCCGTGGTCGTCATCTATACTCCGCTAGATGACTGGATCAACAACAACAACATTGAGGCCTCTCATCATTTTATCACACATCGTCTTATTACATCTACCCATGTTTTACCCCAACATTTTTGTAGATATAAAATACATATACAGTTTAAATCATTTAAAACTTGTATAAAAACATTCATCCAGCATAGATAACAAGTATACAGATAATATGCAGACATAGCACGTAATATATAAAATACTTCATATCTATGTGTAATATGAAAGTAACTATGCACTCACCTGATTAGGTGGTGACTCAGCACTCGGACAGCGCTTCGATACTCTCAAAATGATATTCCTTCGATAAAACCTAGTATCGATACCACTAGGGTTTAGTCTAATGATAACCGCGACAAATTAATTATCTGACTATTATTATTATTATTATATAAGCATTAATAACACTCAATATAACTCATAATAATAGCCCAAATAATTATTTTAAGGACCTAATAACATTCCTATATTAAAACATAAGCTAAACTAAAGATAGGATAGGTACAGCTCACTTACAGCGGGTTTTTCTCGAAAACCGGGCTTCGCTGGAGCAGCGTTCCCGAGCCGAAAGGCTCTTTTCTCGGAACTCCGGAGCCTCGGGGCTTCCTTCGGGTGCTAGGGGGTTTACCTAGGCTTTTAGGGGGGTTAGGGAGCTTAGAGAGAGAGTTTAGAGAGAGAAAGAAGAAGGTTGAGGGGTGAGGAAATGAGGGAACCCGACACCTCTATTTATAGGGGAGAAATCTGATGGACTCGCCGAGTAGGGGGGACCTACTCGCCGAGTTGGTCCATGTGGTGGCCTTCTGGTGGTGCCACGTGTCCAATTCTGGTGGTGCGACGTCAACCCCTATCGCGTATCAGCCTTCAAACTTAGAAAAATCATAACTTTCGCATACGAGCTCCGTTTTCGACGTTCTTTATATCCACGCGTAGGTAAAATCAAGATATACAACTTTCGTTTAGACTCCATCGGCTAATTCTCAACCGATCTCAAATTTAACAGTAGGAGGCGTTTAGACTATTAAATGACCGCGAAGAATTCATAACTCCTTCATACGAACTCCGTTTTCGTTTGTCTTTTTACCGTTGAGTTCCTATTAATGAGATCTTCAACTCTCATTTAGGTCGCGAAAGCCAAAAACCGCTCGAACTAAAATTCGAGTTTCGGGCCGTGCACTGCTAAGCCGAATCTTAGAAAAATCATAACTTCTTCATACGAAGTCAGATTTGGGCGTTCTTTTTATCGATGTTCTTAGTTTAACATATTCTATGACTTTTGTTTAGATTGCTAAGGCTAAAAAGTCTTCTATCGTAAATTCACTATTTACGTCTCCCGGTGCAGTGCCGGTTTTGCCGTAAAACTTCGGCGGGCCATAACTTCTTCGTTATAGCTCGGATTTCGGCATTCTTTATATGTACGGAAACCTTGAGACATATTCTACAACTTTATGTAGAGATATCAGGATTATCTCACATTTTAATTTTGACGCTCATTTTTATTCTTTATTAATTATACATTTATAATTAAATAATAAACACATAAACACACATAATTCACATAATACTCAATATTTCATCTTTATTACTTCAAAAAGAGTTACAAGAGTTGACCTAGACTATTATATTGACAAAAATGCTTAGCCCTGAAACCCGGACGTTACAACCTAGGACACTAAATATCAAGAAATGGGCCGACCTTGGTGCCTTAGACCCATTGGTATGGTGAGGAGACTCACCTATGTCCGAAGAATCCAGAAACTTCTCTCCTAACTGTCTGTAACCTCCCGTATTGAACAATAAAATTAATCCATGTTAGGAAATCACATAATCAAAGGGAAAACCAAACCCCAAGTCCTTCCAAAAAGGCCCAAATATCATTTCTTTGTTAATGTGCCCAAAGGCCATGCCCAAAATCATTAATGGGCCTCTTGGCCCAATAAGGCCCTACCATAACACCAATGGCCCAAAGTAGATAAAATGGCCCACTATTCTCATAATGCAACCAAGTCCAATAACTAAATGAGGCCCAACAATTCAAAGGCCCAAAACAGATCCAAGCCCATCTGTGGTGCGTACGCTTAGCGTACCACCCTGGTATGCGTAATGTATTGGGTCTCTGGGACTTACACGCAGTGTACACTTTTTTACGCCCAACTTACTAACAGATTAAACACTTTCTCCATTAAATGCTTATTACTCGATTCGTTCACGTCTAAAATTCAGATCTAGGCTTATTAAGACGACCTAAGGCATAAAGTTGGCAACTTTATGCCTTTGCATGACTCATATGCTCATAACACCCCCATTAAGACCTTTTCAAGGTCCTTAACCCATGCATGAGGTTAAAACACCCACCAAGACTCCATTTTTATGTTGAGAACGGACTAAAGGACCTCATTATCTTTACTTCCGTCTTCTGGAGTTGCTCAACTCACAAAAGGAGGTCCAAAATCAACAAAAGGGACAACACTAGAAAACCCTAGCTAGATCTAGTGATTTATGTGGAAAGGTGCAAGCTTTATACCTCCAGAAGCTCCTCAAGGTCTACTATATGCAGATTCTTGAAGTCCAAGGCCACTCAAAGCTTGTTTGGCAACCTCTTCTTCTTAAATGAACACTATAAGGACCACAAATGCACTCTTAAATCTTCAAAATTTACTCACAAATGGTATTAAGGTTTCCAGAGATGTTTGAAGGTGAAAATGGCTGATAAGGTTGAGGCTCAAATGAGTTAAATGTGTTTATATAGGTCACAAGTCAGAAAATTTAGGGTTTGAACATTCGGCACGTACGCCCAACGTAGGTGATGCCCCTCCACGACCACCCATGCGTAGTATGCTAAGCGTACTCATAAGTACGCCCAACATACTTAACAGACTAATATACTAGAATTGATTTTGTTTAAGGGTTTCAAAGAGTGTTACAGTTATGGTGCCCGTGCTTTATATTGGGATGTTGTTTTCATTTTTTTGTTGGCACTTTCAAGACCATTGCTTCTACTCCATGAATTATAACCATTGGAATGTAATTTGTTGGTCACTTAAGTGCATTTATGACTTAATCATTATAGCTCAATTTTATACTATCTTGAAATGTATTCTCAATCATTTTCATATATACTTTTAAGGGAGAGCCCAAATGTTGGTACAATGTTTATGGTAGTAAAGTTAGTTGTTTTGCAAAGGTATGTCATTGTTGTATATCATGGAATTTTCTATTAAAAATGTTTGAATCCTTACATTATTAGTGTTGTTGTGATGGAATTTCCATTTTACGACAAATGATGCGAAACATCGTTCAATCCACAACCTGACTTACTCTTTCAGCTGGTTACTATATTCAATCAATTTGTTCTACAAGCACATAATGTTCCAATTTACACTATATTACTGGTGGACAACTGAAGTTAAAGGTGAATGTTATTTCAATCTTGTTTCGAAGATCAAAGGATGTATAACACCAATTTTACTTCTACATTATGTTTTTTGTCCTTAAAAATTTAAGTATCTTCTTTCACTTATTTGTACAAACATTTCCTAGTGGTGTGAGATTGCTGGGTAATATTACTGTTTTTCTCTTCATCCACCCAAAAAACATAGATGAGTTGAAATTCTTACTTTAATTCATAGGGCGGTTTTAATTATATACCATATATAATTTTATACTACTCAAAAAATGAAATATTTAAATAAAGTCAAAATTTAAATGGTAAATATTTAGATAAGAAAGAATGATCAACTTAAGATAAAAAGATTAAAATCGAATGAATAAGAATTTAGACGAATATAGAGATAATTATCAAATTGTATTTTTTATTGATCATGCCTAGGTTGTAAAAATGACTTATTTAACAAATAAAATGGATTAATTACTAAATTCATTGGCAAAAATGTAAAAAAAAAAAACTTAAACAACAGTTTAGAGCACCTCAAATTTAGCCTACTAGCCAGAGTTTAGGAACAAATAACTAAAAACGATGTTATTTGGTCTTATAATAGTAAAATACTGATTGATCATCTCTTATGAACAGTTGCAAGTTTAATAACACTGATATGTGATGCTAAAAAATAAAAATACTTTATTGAGTGCGATTTTCCTCACTATTTCCACTCCTAACAAGAATCAATAAACCAATTAATCATCTAGCAAAAGCCAAAATAAGAAGAGTAATGTCCCCTAAAAAATGTTACAAAAAGCTTTAACAGGAAGTGTAAAACAATAGCACTCTAAAAAAGTCCCAAGATGGAACAACAATATACAAGACTTGACATCAAGGGACAAGTTCTATTGACTCTGTATCATCCTTATTCACAATCAATGTTAGTTCCTCTGCTCTCTTAGATTCATTAATCCAATCAGTTTTTATCAACGTATACACCATTAACAACGCACAAGCAACCTGTGATGCAACCAACCCTAGCCATAATCCCTGGTAACCCATCTTCAAGTTGAAAGCCATCACAATTGACATAGGAAGTCCTATAAGGTAAAAGGCAGCTATGTTTATCCTCACCCCCACTTTGGGTCTAGCTGAACCAGTCAATACCCCACAAGCCGCCGTTTGTAGGGCATTTCCCACTTCAGCGAAGCCCATAACAGGTAGTGCTGAAGAAAGCAAGACGAGGATCTGCGTTTCACGAGTGTACAATATTCCAAGAACATTTCTCAAAGCAATATATATTACAGAGATTACAAGTCCATATATAAAGGCGATTGATATCCCAACTCCTGCAGCCCACTGTGCACGAGCTGGTTGCCCAGCTCCTAACTCATGTCCTACGCGTTGTGATATACTCATACTCAAAGAAAATGGTAACACATAGACGATGCCTGTTAGCTGCATTATGATCCCAGTTGCAGCTACACAAGACTCAGGGTTCTTTAGCAATCCACTAAGAAAAAGAATGATTTCATACCACCACCACTCCAAACAAACCGAACATACACTAGGGATGGCTAGACTTAACAATGGCCCCCAACCTTTCAAAACAAACACCATGTTGGTTGTTGCAACCCAAGGTTTGATTGCTACTTTTGATAGGTAAAGATATAGCAACAACCCGATATTCATGTTATATGTGAAGCATGTGGATGCCAATGCAATGCCCTTCATCCCTAGGTTTAAATAACTAATAAGAAAGTAATTTATAGGGAGATGTAGGATTGTAGCACAAGTGGCAGAAATGGTGGCTGGTGAATTCAAACCTTGCGTCCTCAAAAAGGAACGCAAGGGTAGAAGGTGTGCTAAGGCTGGGAGTTCTGGGAGAGAGAACACTAAGTATGATGCTGCGACCTTTGTGATAACACGGTCTTGACCAAGGCCTTGTAGAACAGGCTCGATGTTTAGCCATAGAAATGTGATGGGAATGGAAATAAGCAAGAGGAGAAAGAACGTTTTAATGTAGATTTGGCTAACAACTGAATATCTCTTGGCTCCGTAGGCTTGAAAACAAATGGGATCCATTCCCATGCATAGCCCTTTCATGATTGAGAAGCCTGTGATATTTGCAAAACCAATGGCTAAAGCACCTCCTGCTAGTTCAGATTTTCCCATGTGACTTAAGAAGAGCATGGAGATTACGGATTTCGAAAATACAAGGAAGGTGGTTGTTGCCACAGGACATGCTGATGTTCCTAGTAATATTAGTTCTTCAACCACCTACAGCACAAACAAATTCAAAATATATCAATTTTTCTCAGTCACAAAGTAAACTTAACCTTTTATAAACCACATATTTTGAAAAAATATTTAACTTTTCTTTTGAACGGAAACAAAATATTTAATAATAACCAGAAATGATCATAAACATACATGTATTAATTAATAATCTTTAAGGCTGTAAAGAAACCAAACAAATACAAACACAAGTTTATTCATGTTCGTTCATTTGTTCAACTAATTAAACGAACGATCATGAACAAACTTTTTGTTTGTGTTCGTTTGTTAATTTGTTTAGATTACTTATACAAACGAACACGAATTGATAAATGAACAAATATTTTTGTTCATGTTTGTTCGTTAATGTTCATTAAGTTGCTAAACGAATCGCTACACATGATCATAAATTAACAAACATCAAAAAAAAAAAAAAAAACATAAATGAACATACATATAAGCCTAAACATCCAAATCAAGAATTGTAAAAGTTCGTTGTTAACATTTCTCATACGTTGATCGTACTTATTAGTATCAATTTTGATATTTTTATGAACTCTAGAAGTTTTAAAACTTAGATCACGTTTGGAAGTGCCACTTTCACTCTCACTAGTTAAATTATAAATATTTTATTATATTACACACACACACACATACATATATATATATATATATATATATATATATATATATATATATATATATATTAAATAACATAATGTCAATTAATGTGTCTAAGGACTAAGATCACAACTAAATTGGTATAAACTTGCAATAGAAGCATAGCCTTTTTTGATTGCCTTCATAATCATAAATAACTATAAATTATATCAGGAGAGAAGGATAAATGATTTGTTAATATATTATGTGATTAATATATTAATTGAGAATAGATAATTGATATGTTAATTTTTTATGTGATTAATACATTAACTTGAGATCAATAGTTAAATAATTGATTTGTTAATTTATATGGTTAATAAATTAATAATAAATCAAATAGAATTGATTAATTATTAATCAGAACTAATCTAACATTAATTCGGGATTAATTTGAATTAGTTAAAGGTGCAATGAGTGAATGTAATTGTTTAATATTTATCTAAACTAAATAAGTAAATGGAATCAATTAAAATGAAACTTCGACACCTTATGTCTTTACATCTCACTTAATACCCTACACAAGGTAAATGTACAAATGACATAAAAAAAAAACCGTTTTAAAAGATGCCATTTGGCCATGGTTTTCGATCGTAGCATGACTTGTCACGGGTTTTTTAGTTTACAAATTTCAATATACGATTTGAATCACTTAAAATGAAACCTCAATACCTTTTGTCACGCTTAATAACTGACCCATTATAAAAAGAGGACCTTTGCCCACTGTTTAAGGTCGTCGCACTAATTGTCATTTTTTTATGTAAAATTGACGTGAATGTGTGAAGTCTAGTGTGAAATGGTGACTCGTTTTCAGTAAAGTGTCGTAGAAACAATCATATGAATTAGTTTATGACCTTTAGCGAAGAGAAGTTTGAAAACCGAGAAGACCTGGTTTTCAAAAGCCGATGCCATAGTGCAATTTAGTACTAGTGTTAAGCTAATAACTAAATTGGTGTAAACTTGAAATTATAAGCAAAGTCATTTTGGGTGGCCCTCATAACCAGGAATAGCTAGAAATGATATTAGCAGAGAGAGAGAGAGAGAGAGAGAGAGAGAGAGAGAGAGAGAGAGAGAGAGAGAGAGAGAGAGAGAGAGAGAGAGAGAGAGAAAGAAGAAGAAGAAGAAGAAGAAGAAGAAGAAGAGAGAAATGATTTGTTAATATATTACGTGATTAATATATTAATTGTGAATAGATAATTGATATGTTAATTTTATTTCTAATTAATAAATTAAAATGACATCAATAGTTAAATAATTGATTTTTTAATTTATATGGTTAATAAATTAATAAGAAATCAATTACAATTAATTAATTATTAATTTGAAATTAATTTGAGATTAATTGAAATTAGTTAAAGGTGCAATGGGTGAATTGTAATTGTTTAATAATTTAACAAAAGAAGCAATTCTAGAACCATCAATGGTATGGACGATTTTGGCTTGATTCCTAGGGTTTTTGGAAGCCTCATGGATGCATATAAAGAAAGGATTTTAATTGAGATTAAATCTATTATTTAATTAATTAAAATGTAGCTTTGCATGCAAGTTACCTAAACTATAAATAGGATCCCTTGGCTCATTATTTTGGTTCATGACCTTCCTAAGAAGCATCATAATGAAATTTCTTTCTCTCTCCTTTCCATTCTAGAGTTTCTAGCGTTTTGGGTACAAACCATTATAGACACTAAACTTTTGGTGCTTGTTTTCCAAGGTTTTCAATAAAGATATTGGTGTGATTCTTAGCTACAATAATTAAAAGGTATGTAACCCTAATCCTATGTATATTTCGATTATAACAAGTTATTATTAGGGTTCTTGATGTTCATAGTTTATTGTTATCATTAAAAAAAAACATAGATCCAAATAGGTTGCATGTGAATTTAAAAGTTAAGTAATTTTCGTCTTATGCATAGATTTATAACCAATAAACCTATCACATAATAATAATAATAATAATAATAATAATAATAATAATAATAATAAACTAGCAAACATAAATGAGCGCACATTAATGAACGTTCACGAACGCAAACTAACGAATAAGAATATTGCTTGTATTTGTTCGTGTAACTGTTCAAACAAAAAATCTTCTTAATATTCATTTATTTATCAAATAAAAAAAATAAACGATCTTTTCATTGCACGGTTCATTTACAATCCGATTGATATTGATAATGACAATAAATGAACTTAACTAAGACGGCCTAGGAACATTTCTTAAAAGGAGAGAGAAATGAAGATCTCAAACAATTAAGGATACTAATAATGCATGGAACACTTTTAAATTTATTGAATTTACATATGAATCATTTCATTTTTCATATAAAGTTACCATTTAATTTAATGACTTAACACTATAAGTTCAACTCTATATTTAAAAACCAAAAGTAAAAAATTGTTTTCTCCCTCGTTAAACAATTCAATGATCAATATTAAACTCCAAATAAATTGAATATAAACTTAGTATCTTCTTATAATTAAGTTTCATCTATTGGATGTTAATTAGGTTTTTCATGTGATTCAAACATTTCATTAAACCATGCATAGTGGACTTATTAGGTATAATATTTTACAGTGAGACGATGGAAATATATGATATCTTTTTTTTTGAAAATGAAAATTATTTATATTGTCATCGAAAATAGATGTATAATACTATTTCTATTCATTCTGTAACTCTTGTAGTATAAACAATGATGTATACTTTTATTTTTATATCTATTATTTTAAGGAAGTATCTAAATTTTCAAGTTCAAAATTAACCATATACCCTACATCATATGCCAAAGAAATCAAATACCATCACTAGTACAAACCCTATTTAATAGTGCGATTGGTATTTTTTTTAAGGCGGTGATAGCATAAAACCGCATCATTAAACTATTTTCACATTAATAAACTATAAAATTGCACCATCAAATATATTTATTAATGCGGTTTCTATAAAAATGCATTAAAAACTGTTTACTAGTGCGATTTACTTCAAAAGCGCATTATTAAAGATTCAATTCCCTCATAATATTTTGTTCATGGCGGTATTTCTCCCTTCCAATTTTTTCATTCCCCGCTCACATCTTTCCTCACAATATTTTGTTCTTAAACTCTCACCCAAAGGGTAGACGGCAAAGACACAGCAGATCCTGACGACCTCGTGCTTCTACCGACTTCCTCCTCTTTCTCCTGTTCAAAATCTGAAAACCCTAGCGTCGATTTTTCTGATATTCTATTCTTAAATGGTAAAATGTCTTGATTTTTTGTTTCTTCACTAATTCCAGCTTTTTTTTTTTTGTCATATACACGTCTCAAAGACCCTTCCCTTGTAGGCTTTTTTCTCTTTCCAGCGTATTACATCAACGATCTCATCGATTTCTATACCGGTGCGGTAAGGTAGCCTCCACTCCAGCGCAACAACCCCTTCGAACGATGAAGTTTCATCAAGTCTAAAATTATTGTGTTTAAGTGCTTCAAAGACCGATAAGTAATAAAAAGTCTCTTTTTTTGTGTCCTTTAATTATATGTACTGTATGTAGTGTATGATTGTGTGGATGTGATTGCTTCGCAAGATCTAATCGATCAGTGTTGGTAGAAATTAAAACAGGTAAAAATGAGATAGGGTGTTAGGGTTTATCGAATGCACTCTACATGTTTGTCTAAATTCCTAAGGCATCTTCGAACAACAACAAGTAGGTAACCTCTGTTAGCTTTGGCCTTCTATGTCTCTTGATGCCTTTTTCCACTAAAACAACTCCCTTTTTTATGTAAGGTGCCAGAAGATGTTGTGACAATAGGTGGCTAGAATTCTCATCTTTGTACAATCGTAGGTTCAATTAAACACGCCATGAATGAAGAAAAGTCAAAACGCCATGAATGGAGAAAAGTCAAAAGAGATGGAAGTTGTCACAACATATGGATGTTTCAATCCTTAAGGTTTGGATTTGAGTTACTTTCTTAGGTTATATTCGTTTATCATCTTTAAAGTTAAAATGTAATTTTCAAACACCAGTGAAATCAAAGTTTCGGAAATCTAGCAAATGGTTCTTTTTTTTTTTTTTTTTTTTTTTTTATGATTTAATAGTATGATGTGTAGTCACTATATCAATTTGAAAATAAATAAAATGATGAGAAAGTTAGAAAAGAAGCAATAATAGCTCTGCAAACTTGTATTCAACAAAATCTTTTAGCTACAGATTTACTACTTTTGATGAGGATGAGGAGGACAATTTGTATCTTTTGAACAGACAAAGGATTGGTAGAATAATTTGTGTCCAAGCTCACTGCCTCCGGTTTGTGTCCAATCTCTCTGCCTTTGGTCTTGTGAAAAAGAGAATAGTTTTGACATAGGGATGTAAACCGTTCTGAAACCTGCTCGAATCGAATCAGAACCGAAAACGAAAATGATGGATTGGGAGATTTGGTAACTTGACCGAATACCACTAATTAATCGGTTCCGGTTCGGTTCCGTTTCACAAATGTTTGTTATACCTTGATAATATAAATTAATTCCATGAATTTCCTTGCATCGTTTTGTGTTCCTTTTACAGGCTTAATGTTCAACAGCTAGAATCAAGCTAAATTAAACTAACCCCATTGGAACAAGACTACAAGATTTGCAAGGAGTTAGAGCTCAAATGATTATATCTTTCTTTGTTTTCTAGAATTAAATGCAACTTATTTGTTAGATACATTGAATCGTGCTCATCGCATGTATTATGACATTATATCTTTTAAGATTCATGGGTTGATTTTTGTTTTGTTTCTGTGCTATATTTTAAAGGGGTTTATGTTAACGGTTGAAAAAACTTTTAGATCTTTCAATAGTTTATCTTGGTAATGTTCCAGTACTTTTTAGGTGGGTTATTTGTTTATTTAAAGATACGGTTCTTTACTTATTTAAAGGAGCGGTTCTAATTTAATGATGCGGTGTAATTTGCTGTTATGGAAGAAGCATTTTGTTTTTTTAGGGTGGTTCTGGCATTTTTTAGGGCGGTTTGAAAACCGCACTATTAAATAAGGGGATTTTTTAAGGCGATATTTTTTGGTGCGATTCAATAACCGCATCAACAAAAGCTTTTTGTACTAGTGCATAGTGCTAGAATGCAGGATCACAACATTCCTTTTGGAGTGAAAATAAGATGGAGAAGCATACAAAGGTGGTAGTAATAAAGGTTAGTATTGAATGACTAAACCAACACAAAAGATAAATATACCAAACAAGAATATTGAGAAGAAATAAAGGACCAAAATGAAGTCTAAAGGTGAACGATCTAATAAACGATTGATAATACAAAACGTTAGTCGTACTTGTTTAACAATCAATCATTTGCAATACTAATTTTAGGCCCCCAATCTACTCCTAAATTATATAGTTTTCTCAAATGAGATTTGTTCTTGGAATAAGATTTCAATAAGCACACATAATAAAGATGTGATATAAGAACACAATGATCTACATGGTTTACTCGATCAGAGTGATCCATATGTGAAGTAAAGATATTTTTATTAGATTTGTAGTTGCCACAATCTTCCTGCTTAGAGTTACAAACGTTCAAGGAGATCTACTTATAATGAACAAAATTGCCTAGGATTGCTTGTAAGCCATGACGTATAAGCGTAAAACATCACCATCAGGTCTGACCCTATGCTCTAAGCACTACAACTAAATTGTTTGGCACTATACACCACAAAATCGAGCACCATAAAACTTTTGATAAATAGCACGAACCTTTTACTCAAGCATCATAGAACTACATTATAGCTGACAACATAGATCATACTCCACAACGCAACAATATTCCACCTAGAGGTTAATCAACCAATTTACACCTATGCAACTCTTTAAACCTAATCTCTCTCTAGCCCAAACCATCTCTTCATTTATCATGAAGCTCGATTGAAACCATACATAAGCTTCAACTTCTCTATTGTAGCAGCTTTACTAAACATATGTGATATGTCTGGAAATTAAAATGGTACTTCATATGGATATGTCTTGTTATTTTGTGAAACACTAGATTCTTCGCAAGAAAAATACCATGTCGTTATCATAATATAGGACATAGTATTAATGTTTCTTTCCTAATTTCACTCCTTCTCAATCCTCTTTACGTGTGTGTGTGTGTGTATATATATATATATATATATATATATATATATATATATATATATATATAGAAGATGATTTGTACACAACAAATTTTCTCCATATAACACAATTGATGTTTTAAAATGTTGTACTGTACAACTCAATAATGCATAAATTTTTATGTATGGTAAAAAACTGTTTTATATATATATATATATATATATATATATATATATGGTTTGGTTCGACATAAAATCAAATTATACAACTTAACCACAAAACCTCGTTAAAATGACTCATGTCCATTTATGAACATAAGTCATTTTGATGTTCATATATAAACATATGTTTTTTTAAATGGACTTTTCTAGCAAGGGTTTCTAGGCCACTTTAGAACACCGACTAATTTCATACTGGAAACATGAGGCTATATGCCTAATATCACAGAGTTAATATAGACGAACCTTCACAACCACAAGAGCTAAGTAGTGACGAAATTTGAACACGAGTTAATGGGTTGCTCACTATATCTTTTACATGTCTTATCAAGTCATCATAAATCGAAGTGGTAGAGATGAACATATGTTTATAAGTGAACATTGGTCATTTACATGTATAAACCGCAAGGTCACCAAACGAAACTTCCATCGATTCGTTCCCCTCATGGCTTGAACATAAAGGTAATCAAACTAATTATAGTTTTAGTAAATTATTGCCTAATTAACCATATGTGCTCTGGCTACTTGGTTTTGTTAGAAATGTGCAACTACGGTTGAGAGTCCAATTCACATTTTGGACAAAAATGTAGAAATATAGATTAAAGAGTAGATTAAAAGTTGTTTTAATTAAACTATTACTTAATTTGCATCAACCTACAATAATTCTTGGTACACCAGCATAAGCTTAATTTGTATGGCCATTTACAATCATACTTTACTTTTCAGAAATTAAACTGGGAAAGATGGGAATCATGTGATGCTAGTTACATTGGTTTATGTACACATAATTAGTTATATATATTAAACGGGGAAAAAGTTAACTATGATAATTGCTACTTACCGAAGAAAAGCAAACTTTGTTGGTATGTACCACCAACTTTTTGCAATCAGGAAAATAAATTGCTTAGAGAACAATAAAAACTACTTGAAAAGTACAAATCCGACTCAATCCAATAAAAAATTGCTAAGTTGTATCTTATAATTTGGTGTAAATGATATAATACTTACAACTTGGTGACTTTTTCCCTAACCTTTTTCAAAACTTTTGTGGTCCGGAAAAAAGTTTGAGAATCTTTCATAATGGAAAAGTTGATGGTCCAAGTGATTTTGATTTATTTGTGGTAACTAACGGGCACAAAATCATTGTACATAAATCGATCTGGTTGGCATTGATGGGGTTTATCTTGAAGCATTTTGTGTATTGGGATTATAATGTCAATGGTAACTCGACGTTACCTTTCCTTAGTACCCCAATTCCTTTGAATGTAGCTTCCAGTGTAGAAAAGTAAATCATTCTTGCGATTATCAACTAAATTTATCATCTTCAACCACATTACAGGTGCAAATCACAAATGAAGTAATTAAGGGTTTAGTTTCATTCAGTTATGAACAAATTACCATGTAATGTTACATTCTGAAACAATGTGAACCCGTAATATTAATTTTTCACCCACGTTATTGTTTTGTATATGAGCATTGACAAATGCTATCTTTTTACACTTCGATAAATATATGTAACTTCAATAAGGTGTGCATGAAGTAGATGAGTAGCTTAAAAGAGCACTGGAAAATACGTGGAAAAGCAGAACACTAAGTTTATAAATCAACAAGAGAAAGATAGGACATTTTCTAGTAAGCATTTGATATTATGTGGAAACTGACCGACATCAAAACAATTCGGAATGTTACACATGATCAACTAACCCCAACTAGGCCACTTGTATAAACCATAAACATGAAAATGCATTAAGATATATGACATTTATGCGCTCAAATTAAGGTTTATCATCTCAGAGCTTAATCCATGATTTGAATTCTAAGCCTCTAACTCCGTATAGTAGATACATATATATACATATAGAGAGAGGGAGAGAAAAAGTGAGAGAGAGAGAGAGAGAGAGAGAGAGAGAGAGAGAGAGAGAGTAACCTTATGTAGAAGTACTTGTCTGCGAAGAGGATTACAGTAGTTATCTTCTCTTGCTCCATGAATTCCATTATCTTGAATCTTTGATGGTTGTTTCTTTTGTTTAATCTTTTCATGATTGATTACAATGACAGTATCAGTATCCCTAGGCCCTGCTTCATTTACATCCATCATGCACATGCCCGCTTTTGAAACAGACACTGAAGATAACTCACTGAAAATAGTTCGTGTGTTTTGTCGTGAGAAATATTAAAGAAATAGAGAACTCAGAGGAAGGAACTGATGCGTGGTTACAGAGTGGAATGAGAGTGGATTTCATAAAGAATATTATTTGAATGAATTCAAAGGAAAAGTATTCCTTCGGAAATGATGGGCTGTTTTCATGGGTGTACAGAAATAAATTATAATATCCTCAAGCATAAAATAATATGATGTTCAGAAGAACTAAAATGCCTTTTTTATGAATATATATGCGAACCTTAAAATCTTCGAAGTAGGTTCTGCTGGTTCGTCGTTTAATACTTGGCTGTGAACTTCTTCCTCGACCATGGCCTTGAAAGTGTTGAAAGACAAAAGATGAGGGCACGCATGCATATGTTACAACTCAACTCCAAGTCATCAACACATGATTGAATGCATTCGCCAATGCATTTCCATTTTTCTCCAACAGAGAAAAAGTAACTATTTGAGCTCTTATTCACTAAGGCATTATCATTTTTAAAATGCATCCATATATACAACGATGCTCAATGTTTGGTGACAATAAGCATTGTTATTTTCAATGCTTTACGTGCATGCCATGATTAGCCTAGAAAGATATCTAAAATGTTAAATATAATATATAACTAGCTCGGCACATTATATGTATATGGTTCTAAAGTTTTGCAATTTGCGGTTAATAAATTTGTAATTCAAATTTCTTAGGTTGGTTTAGGAAATCACGGCTAAAACTTTGAATAAAAATATTTATGTACATAAAAAATTTTAACGACCGAAAATGCTGGTCATTAAAAATTTTAATGTTATCAACACATTTATAATTAGTATAGTTGTGACATCCCCAAAATCACGGCCAGAAAAGACCGGTTTTATTTATACTTTATTTCAAAATCAGAGTAACATTTTTATAAAAGAGTTGCGGAATTTGTCCCAAAACAAAATATGATAAAGATTTATCAAAAGCATTTCCATATAAATGTATTTCATTAAAAAGACTCGGGATGTCATGTTCGATACAGTACATAAGTATAAACAATACAACATAGGCCTTACTACATTATTCCGTATTTACAGGCCTAAAATCCATTAATCTCTCATCCTAATACATCACATCTATGCTCATGCGCCACTACCTGTAATACAAAAAACTGAGTGGGTTAGGCTTGGGAGCCTAGTGAGCACATAATAAATAAGTTTATTAACTTTATCAAACCAAACAAACCCAATTACTCGTTCCCGTTATCCTCACTTTACATGCCTAAGACATCTAACACAAGGGACCTAGTCTATGGACTATCATCGGGATGGACACTACTGCTAAGGGGATTCTTCAGCAATAAATGTCCTTAAGGCAACCATGTGGGGGATGGAGTACACCTGGTGAGCACATAGTTCAAATAAACACCTACAGGTTGCGAGCCTGCTAGTGTTCCACTGGACTGTCTAGAATAGTCCGTGGTTGTCATCTATACTCCGCTAGATGACTGAATCGTCAATAACATCTATAACGAGGCCTCTCATTATTTTATTTTGTCACACAGCAACGATTACATCTACCCATGTTTTACCCAACATATTTTGTAGATATAAAATACATATACAGTTTAAATCATTTAAAACATGTATAAATTTGTTCATCCAGCATAGATAGCAAGTGTACTGATAATATGCACACACAACACGTAATTTATATAAAATACTTCATATCTATGTGTAAGCTGAAAGTAACTATGCACTCACTTGAAAGGTGGTGACTCAACACTCGGACAGCACTTCGATACTCTCAAAACAATTTTTCTTCGATAAAACCTAGTATCAATACCATTAGGGTTTAGTCTAATGTCAACCGCGACTAATTAATAGTCTAGCTATTATTATTATTATTATTATTATTATTATTATTATTATTATATAAGCGTTAAATAACACTCAATATAACTCATAATAATAGCCCAAATAATTATTTGAAGGACCTAATAACATTACAATAATTATTTGAAAGCTATATAAAAATTGCGTAAGCGTAGCTCACTTACAGCGAATTTTAAAGAAAATCGGACTTTATTTGGAGCAGCATTTCGAAGCCGAAAGACTCTTTTTCTCGAGACTCCGGGAGCCTCGAGGCTTCCTTAGGGTGTTAGGGGATCACCTAGGCTTAGGGGAGGATTAAAACCCTTAGAGAGAGAAAGTCTTTTAGAGAGAGAAGGAGAATAGTGTCAAAAACTCGGAGACCCTCGCCCCCCTTTTATACCCAGTGAGGCCTCGGATTACACTGGGCGTAATCCTTGGCTACATTGGGCGTTCCTCAGATAAGGGCGCCACCTGGATCCAGCTGTCTCGCACACCGGAGGAGATAAGAAGCGAACGTATGTAGGGCGTACTTGACCTCGGACGCGGGGCATAGCGAAGCGCCGTGTCATCATCTGAAGCGAGCACCGTGGTCAGCAAGCGACGGCTCAGATGCAGCCACGTCATCACCTTTCTCGCAGATTCACACTTTTTGCTTCCCGACTTCTAAAAATCATAACTTTCGCATAAGAGCTCCATTTATGACGTTCTTTATATCCACGCGAAGGTGGGAACGTACTCTACAACTTTCGTTTAGACTCTGTCGGCTAATTTTGACTTTATTTTAAGACTTATATTATTAACAGGCCGGGACATGATTGGTCCGTTAAAAATTCATAACTTCTTCATCCGACGTCCGTTTTCGCCCATCTTTTTCTCATTACGCTACTATTAACGAGATCTTCGATTCTCGTTTAGGTCGCTAAGGCTAAATCTCATTCTATCATAAATTTACTATTCACACTTCCCGGTAGTATGTCGGTTCCATCACGAAACTTCAACGTGTCATAACTTCTTCGTTATAACTCGGATTTCGGCGTTCTTTATATCCCCGGAATCCTTGTTTCGACCACTACAACTTTATATAAAGATATTGGGCTTATCTCACACTTTAATTTTGACGCTTATTTTTATTCTTTATTGATTATACATTTATAATTAAATAATAAGCACATAAATACACATAAATTCACATAATACTAAAATATTTCATCTTTATTACTTCAAAAAGAGTTACAATAGTTGACCTAGACTATTACATTGTCAAAAATGCTTAGCCCCGAAACCCGAACGTTACAATAGTCAATATTTTATTTTAGATAAGTTGAGTTTCCATTTAGGTGTATTTTGAGACAGGGGTGTGAAATGCACACTCGGGTTGTTGGAGTTTTTAGTGATACTAGACATTTTGTAAAACTGAAACTAATATCTAACAAGGGTTTATAGTTTGTACTTTATATTATATGTTTGGTATATGCGGAACGCACGCATATATAAGATTAAATTATAAGTCGGTACGATAAAATGACGGAGGTCAAAGGGATCGTGCCCCCTTGCAGTGTTCAAGGGATAGAGCCGTAGCGGTGGTCGTGTTGTCAAGTATAGATACGACTAATCTAGTTTTGGAAATTTGAATTTTAAAGATTATGGTATAATTTCAGTGGATGATTATGGTAAAATTGACAAACTTCATTAGTTTTGGAAACTATTGATCATACCACTAATTTCAATATTACTTGACTAATTACGAAGACGAAAATCATAACTGTAAAGTATAAATACATCTCGTCTCTTTGACCCACAACACACTTTTCTCTGCTCTCTATCTTCTCTGACGAATTCAGAATTCTTCTAGCGATTTGACTTGTATTTTTATGTCTAGATTCATAAGTGTCCCTTTGGATTATCTTAGACAGAATTTGTGACAATCGTCAATCTAGAGTCAAGTCAAGTCATCAAGTCAAACCGGTCAACTCGATTTAAACCCTGTGTATTAGGGTTTGTGTTATGTACATACTGTATAACTCGTTATATTAATGGGAAAACATCACTTGGGAAAAAATCTTGTGTTAAAATTTCCTGAGCCTTAGTGCTAATCAATGAATTAAACTGATAAAACCATCTTGCATACTCAGCGGGAGTGTGTAGGATCCTTAATCATGACTTAATGAGGCTCAAGAACCTTGCGTTGCAGAGCCAAACACTCATAATTGTCACACAAGGAACCTCTCTCAATCGTTTTCACTCTATCTCTCTCTCTCTATGTCAAATCTCTCCAAGTATGTGAAATCTCTCTCAAATATCTCTTTGTATGAGGAATCTCTCTAAGAATGTCAAATCCCTCCAAGTATGTGAAATCTCTCTCAAATATCTCTTTGTATGAGTAATCTCTCCAAGAATGTCAGATTTCTCCCAAATCCCTCCAAGCATGTGAAATCTCTCCCAAATCTCTCTCAAAAGTTCCTTGGACTTTTTATAGTCTTTCGGGCCATCCCGACCCTTAACCAGGTCAAAAACGGCTTAAAACGGGGTAAAAACGAGAAAAATGGACCTTAGGAACCGAAACCTCCTTATAAGAGAGAAGCCTCTTAGGACCCGAAGGTCCTCTCAGAACCGAACCTGAGCCCAGGAGGAACCGAACCCGAGCTCAGGAGGAACCGAACCCGAGCCCAGGAGGAACCGAACCCGAGCTCAGTAGGAACCGAACCCGAGCACAAGAGGACCGAACCTCGCGCACCACCCAAACCCGAAGGTACTGTTCATTTACTGTTCATTCGGCTCATTTCGGGTCTGACCATCTTCGCCTCTTATCTCCGGACCGAACCTCTCGCCTTCGCCTCTCACTTCCGGTTCGCCCCCTCTCGCTTCCTCGCCTCGCTTCGTTTCCGGCTACAGTCCTCAGCAAGGACCGAACCTCGGCCTAGGACCGAGAGGTCTCGCTAGGAATGCTTTTCTTCCCGGTTTTCGTGTAGTTTTGCGTTTAAGGCCCGTTTTTAATTATTTTAACGCGGGATTTTCACCCAAAATTATATTTTAACATAATGAACCCTAAATATTCACAATTTAATCATATTTTCATGAAAATCTTTATTCAAATAATAAAAGTTAGTGGGTAAAGTACAAAGAGGTGGAGTGTTGACTTTGCCTTAACTTATGTCACAAGCAACCACCCCACACCCACTTTATGACCAGCCACACCTCCCCACCTTACCTAGGTCACTTCAATGTCCCTTACACTCAATTTCCACTCATTCCCACGTTTTTAGTGCTGGAACAAACATCCTCTCTCCTCATTTCTCTCATTTGCTCTCCTTTCACTAAGTATCAAACACCACTTTTCTCTCATACTTTTTCTCCACCAAATTCGAGATTCAAGGCTGATTTTCAAGTGTTCTTCCACTATTAGTAAGTATAATTCATCCTCCTTTTGATTATTACACTTCATTCTACTCAAATCATTAATTGCTTACACAAACTCCATA